TCAATTATGATATAGTTACTAAATTAACACGAGATCCGGTTTGTGGCCGAGGCCTTTTCGCCCGCGCACCTTCTATTGACGCGAGGCGTTACTCAAGAGGTGCGGTCGAACGAACCCCAAGGTGTGACCAAGGAGCCCGGGTCGTCATATGGACCACCAGCACCGAGCTTTCGCCCGTATCCTTTCAAGCCGCGGACACGAAAACCGTGTTGGGACCTGCGGTTTTCACTGGGTGTTGTGGTTTAATTACTATCTCGCGCTGTGCCACTGCCACCACGTTTCAGCCGAGGTAGGTTCCTCAACCTTGGGGGAACCGGATCCAGAGCGGCTAGGCCGGTCCGGCGTGCGGTGGGGCTCCCCCTCCCGTGGTACCGACTAGGTTTATAATTGACGTCGGTGAGTCAACCCGGGGTTTTTGGCCTCTGCCACTATTCTAGCTTCCCAAGCCGGCTAGTGGTGGGCCTTTACTAAATTAACAATGATAGATAATAACACACAAATACACAATCCCGGGGCATGAATTCTTTTACATAATATTATTATTTACTTTTAATATTGTAGTTATATCTACATTTTGCTAATATACCTAGTAATCTATAGCAAGTATAGATCTTGATCAATTAAAACTGGAACTTCAACATTTTTCAAAAGTCTACCCAAGCATATCTAATCCAGTAGAGAAAAGAACAAAATTAATATACTCAGAGTCCGAAACTGAAGAGGAAATCGAATTAGAAAACAAAGAAGTTGATGGGATCTGTAAAAATATGTTTCCCTATAAGATTGATAGTGTAAATAAATATTCGTTTTATTTACAATGTTTATTTAATCGTGATCAATAATATTTTTGTTCGTGGTTTCATGTAATGCAGTTTACAGTAACCACGACAAGAAAAATTGCTTGCATTATGTTTAAGTTAGATGTATAATTTAAACTTACATGTTTCTGCTTATACTACACTATGCGAAGCGTATGCATTTTTTTTAACTTTATCAGTTACAGAAGTTATCTGTAAACGTACATTTAGTAAGCTGAAACTCATTAAAACTAGATTAAGATCAAATTTAAATCAGAAAAATTTGGAGTTTCTGCTTTTAATGTCAGTAAAAAAATTGCTGCTGGATGAAATAGAAGTGTCGGAAGTCGTTAACTATTTAAAAAAATCATCCATCATAATGCATCAAATATTGAATTTATAAATTTAAATTTAAATAATAAGCATTTGATATTTTATTCATTCATTTGTTACCTATTATACTCGTATTATTGTTATAAACTATTTAGGCGATAATAAGGAATTCACTATTTTGTGGTAATAATGTATTTAATGAATTATTGTGCTGCAATTATATTTGACGTAAAAAAAGACTAAATCTAGCCATCTAGGGTCGTTATAAATGTACGTTAAGGGTGTTAAATTTTCCAATTACAAGCCTGGATTGAGGGGGGGCAGAGGGGTCCATGGTCCCGGGCCCACAACGAATATCAAACAATAGTAGACGCCCGGTGGATAGAAGGTTTTTTCATTTTTTAACTCTTTTTTTAGTTTGTATAAAAAACAAGTTAAATTAGTATATAGTTTTATGGTTTTGTGTTCAGAGAATAATTTTTTAGAGGTAATTAATACCGATGATATAATAAAAGGGTTTGCTTCCCAAAAAGAAAGAAAAAATTATTTATATAAATAACATTTTTATTTTTTGTATTAAAAAAAGCAAGAAATAAATTTATAAATTAGAATATAATGTTTTTTTGTCTCTGAAATATATTTATGTGTTGGTCATCAATATTTTGATTATGGTTATGGGCCTTTAAAATTGTTTGGTCCCGGGCCCCAAATTATCATAATCCAGACTTGGCCAATCATAAGCGACATAGGTGCAAATCCACTTAGTACTCTGGGCACAGATTATATTAAACCAGATGGTGCACTTCTTCAATTTACTGATAACACGAATCTACCTCAAATCAGTACGGCCACATAAGAGAAGTAAATTAATGTACAACATCTTTTACCATCATTTTAATTGTTTCAAATAATATTTAATACATAATAATATAATATTATGTGTATTATGAAGCATGAGCGTCAACGCTAATGGAATTGCAATAATCATCTAACATTTTGTATAGCTTTAATTTAATATATGGATTAGTCTGCTTTAATGTTTGGCTTATATTTATAATATCTACTTATATTTTTTTTAAACTATATAAGAGATATAATATATATTATCTTGTTAAGTATATAAATACTTGCTTACAAATACTTTCTTTATATTTCAAATAATTCTCAAATATTTTTTGATTAGTGTTTTAAATATAAAAAAAATAATTTTTTTTTTTAAATATTATTCCGGAATACTAATTTTTTGCACTACAAGAAGTAGTGACTCTTTTGCACAATTTAAAAGTATTTTCCTGTATTCTACCACAAAGACAAGGAAGAAATACATTATTTTATACATTATTTTAAAATAAAAAAAAAATGTTGATTCGTGGTAGAAGTGTTAGCTCATGTATTATAATGTTCTTTACAAATTCAATAATAAAAAGTTGAATAAATAAACAAGATTATAGGTGATACAATTGAAAGTATTTAAAAACAGGCGGTTACTTGTAGCTCCAAAACCGGTCCACAGTCCCAACACTCTGATGATGGCTATTTGTAGTTCCAAAACAGTTCCACAGCTCGACGCTCTGGAGACGGCTCTGGAATCGGCCATTGCCCTTTGTTAGCCTGTCAGAAGTATATATGTCAAAAATGATGTACAATATTGAAGCTATGCTATGCTATGCTATGCTATGAATTATAAATGTTGTAAAGTAGCCAGATTTCTTTTTTTTAATGATATTTCTGAAAAAAAAATCCTTATTTAAAAATTTAATTGTTGAAAACATTTTGAATCTAACAAACAAATTAAGAAGAAAATCGTTTTCAAAACTTTCACATGGGTGATAATAAATTATGCTAAACATACTAAATTTTAATTTTTTACTTACTTCAATTTCTGGAGCAAGCATTGGAAAACGATGAATAAAAACAGATTCTAAGTTATGTATATAGTTATAAAAATCATTATGTGGCATCGTTAAATTGTCATAAGTTGAATTTTCTTTATTAGTATATGCTTTAAAATGAGAAAACAAAAATTATTGGTCTCCAAGGTTATTTGAAATTTAGCATAATTTATACGAACATCACAACTATGTTTTTCTAAACACTTTTTCATTAAATAGCCACAAACATATATTAATGAATTTTGATCTAGTAGACTTAAATCCCTATAATCTACAGATCCAATGAGAAGTGACATTTTAAATTTAAAAGGAGATTTTTCAGGAAACATTATATTTTGAATTTTTTTATTGGAGGAATTTGGAATTTCAGACAATATATCGTCGAAATCTTGAATGCAATTAGAATTTTCAGAATATTGAAAATAATTTAGGCAAAATATTCTTTTAAAAGCATAATAAAATTGGACTGGAGTGGGATTCATATTATTACCATTTTGGTTGTATAAATGTTACAAAAAGGTTTTCAACTCTATCTTGGTTTAATCTATTAGTGTATAGAACATAGTTGTGACCAGGATTTTGACGGTTTAGTATTATCCATAGTAAATTAACCAGCCTTTTAAAGATTTCATTCGATTAGTTACATCTATGTTATTTTTATCAAAAACTTTTAAGTTTATAAAGAATTGTTCCATGAATAATAAATGTGAATTTTGAGACTGAGTATTTTTGAATAGTCTATTAAAATCTTTTAAATTAGGTCATTTATATGAATTAAAAATAACAAACAATTTATCCATATCTTTAAAAAATTAACGGTTTATTTTGAAGAAATTGGAAATTTATTTAATGCTAAATAGGTTTCCATGCCAGTTACAACAGTTTCACTAAAAATTTGAGCAGCTAAGTAAACCCTCATCTTTTGAAATGCATTTGGATATATAAGTGGATGTGTTATTTAGGAGCTAGACGTAAATTACAGGTATTGACTTGGTTATAAAATGACACAAGATATTTTTTTTCTATTAAATCTTCATTTAATTTAAATTTATGTCGGAAAAACATATTCCTTGCAGTTTTCAGAAGATGAAGTGGATCAAAAATATAAACTATTTTTTCATTATTAACTTCAAAATATGGTCGGATTGAGAAACATGAAATTATTACTAAAACCTACAAAATTTGAACTCATAACTGTTATAAAAGCTTTGATATCTCAAGAAGTACTTTGAATTTTAATTATTGTTAAAATAATAATATCTTGTAAGTCATAATCAGTACATGAACTACGCACTAAAAAATATACAATCGGTTACTTCCAATTTACATTTATACCGTTAAGCATTAATACAAGTGCATATTTTGCAGGTTCATAAGTTTTACGATTATTAGTTACATTAAATCCCATTATTTCATGTTTTTTAACTAAATAATATAAATAAGTTTTTAAAGACATTCCATCTGCTTAAAGTATACATTGTAATGCCTCAGGGGTATAATTTCTAGTTTTAAAATTAATAAAATTAAATAAAAAAATCATTTAAACCCGGTAGAATTTCAAATTTCGAAGTTTTACGTTTAAGAGAACTGATTGTTGGCAGAAAAATTGTTGTTTTAATAATATTATAAATCTTTAGACCCAAAAAATAAATAGTTAATACAAATTTTTTCAATTCATGGTCCTATCTGTAACCCCCTTTTTTCTTTCTTTCTGCATTAAATGTGATTTAATAATTAAAATTATGTTCGGGATAAAAACATTTTGACAGCGATTTAAAAAAAGATTCTACAGAGTCTAAATGATCTAATGGATGAATCCTGTTATCTAATATCCTAATATAGTCCTTGGCTAATCATAGTTATTTTTTCAACTCCAATTTTCTAGGAGTTGCATTTAAAAGCTGCATTGGGGTTTGAGTGGATGAGGTTGAACTGCTGAATGACGAACTTGATGATGAACGTTTTGGGCTTGAATAAGCTAAAGGTAAGCTAATAAATCCAAAGTATTATCTGACTCATTAAAATTCGCTCGTTTAGCCAATATGTCATCTAAAACCAATGATCATTATAACTTAGTCATTTTTTTCATTATCAAGAACATTGATATTCATTCAAATTATATCTTACCATTACAGAGTGTAGGAACAACATAATCAATTAACCGTTTTTTTGTAAGAACATTCAAAAACATTTTGTTTTCAAAATGTTCTCGACATATACGAACATCTTTAACCTGAATGTTTTTATTAGCAAGTTCAGAAATACAATTTTCAATCCACATTGCACGCCTTGAATCATAAAAAGTATAAAATAGTTGCTATGATATATTAAAGCATACAGAAATCAATTTAAATATTCTTACCCTTCTGAGTCCTTTGGTAATGTAAAGTAACTCAGTTCATTCGAATGTACCGAACTTTTATTTCTGCAGTATTTCACACCACATTTTCGGTATGCAATGCTTTTAAAAATCTTCATCATTAAAATAAAAAAACACAATAAGATGGGTGCAAAAATCAATTGCCAATTGGTCTTTCGTTCGAACTAAATAAAAAATTCAAACAAGCGTTCAACAGCGTACGTTGAGCAGCAAAAAAAATTAACAAAACAGATAGAATTCGGTAGTTGGTATCCGGTACGAGTACAAAAACTGAAAGGCGTCAAAAGTCAGTGATGCGTAGCTAATAAACAATAATTTCTCATAAAGCCTCATTTTCCCTATTCGTGGTGACACTGATTTGCGGTAGGTTTTGATTTCTTTACATTTTTGAGAATAACATGGGCCGAATAGGGGTGCACCATCTGGTTTTATATAATTTATGCTCTAGAGGTGCTCAAGTCCCTCCAGAATTAACTTATCAGTAACTCGTGAGGGGCTTTGACACTCACACTCCCCATAAATCTCTTAATCGGCCAAATCTTTAAAACAAATATTAAAATAAACAGAAATAAATTCATGAAAATAAAAATTTATTTATAAAATAATAATAAGTACAAAATATAATCAAGATTTGTATTATATAACAGTAGATCGAAACAACACAAATGCACAATTAGGTATATCATTAGTTATCTGAAAAATAAGTACCTAATAAATTATTGTCTCAGTAATATCTAAATATAGACATAAAAGATTTTAAGTATTAAAAGAGATATAATATAATATTATGAATGATGATAAGTATTATTTATTTCTATAATATATTGGCAGTGCTAAACACACATTTAGGAAATTTTAGCCTATGATAAGCGAGCATAGCGAGCTGCACATTTTTTGATCATACAAAAAACAATGTGGGCCACTTAAATCTCCACCCGAGCCGAAGTACTTTCAGTCCACCCCTGACTGTTACAAATTGTACATAATCTAGCCAAATGTTTTTATAACTTCTTTTTGAATAATCAACCCTGTATAGTATAATTTACGTACGTAGATACCCGTGAAATACAATAATATATAATAATAATACATTATAGAACTGCATTTCACATTGAATATTTTTATACTTAAAAGATTAATTTATTATTATAAATAGTGAGCATGGCTGTACGTTTTATACATTTGCCACTCCATCCCATTGAATTCTATTAAAACGTTCTCATTTCTCATAAATGTATGTTATTATGAAATACTTCGTACACACATGTAGTACATTTAATCTGTACCTGTACACTGTGCCCGTGCGCTTGTACATGTGCGTGTGTGTCTACACTGCATGCGTGTCTAGCTTTGCGGTTTACGTATGACAACATGCAATGATTAAAGATTAATTTTACTTTTAATCATCGTACACAATTTAATAAATACCTGTTCAGCTTTATCGGTTATTATTATCTTTGAACGTTGCGTGTTATCTTATATAATTCCTATTGCGAAAATGAGTGTTTTTAAAACCCTTGAGGTACGTAAGTATAATGTTTAATAAATTAAATAAAAACTTTTAAGACACTTTATAAGTATATACATATTTAGCATGTATATTATATCCCGTTGTTAGAGAACTGTTATTTACCTATTATTGTTACCAGGGCCGAATCATGGTTGCAATATAAGGGAGAAGGGCTATTACTTTTGCTGAGGCCCGTTCAACCGAAAAAAATTCATTTTTTTATTCAGATTTAATAATTTTTAATAAATACTTATTGAAATAAATGTAGTATGTATGTATATTGGAGTATAGTTTGTTACGTTATAATTTCTAACTATAATTATCCCTTATCAATATAATTTTATCGGATCTTATATTATATTTTCGGTAAAAATTATACATTACGCTCATTTGTGAACATTTCCAAAATTGTATGGTTCCAAAACAATAAGCAGATGTAAGTATTAAATAACGTTTAATGTGTCAATTCAAGCAATAATAATTTTTAACTAAATCAAATAAATCGAACATTAATGAAAATACATGGCAATAATATATTCAATATTATTTTAAGTGCAACATGTAGGTACTAGTAGTGCTAGTATTGCTTGTGAAAAATTATTGTTTACTCTAAATTTTAGATGTTACAATCAATGTATTCAAATTCTTAGATTGTTTTATAATTATTTAACTGATTTTATTTTATTTAAGACCGTTTATGTATAATAAATGATTGAAAAGTTTTTTTTACCGATTAGAGCGAGTAGTTTTATGTGGGTATTAAAAAAATAAAAAAACATAGATGTAAGAGTTATCGTACTCAAACAAGGGTTAAAGGAAAACCACCTGTATGGTAGAAGCGTAGGGATTGTTATTGTATATTAATGAATAAAATCGTTTTTTAGTTAACTCTTTGAAAACTTCGTACAAATTTATATTTATCAGTGATGCGTGTAAAAAAAATAATTTCCGAAAATGCTGTTTGCAGGATAATGTATGGATTTTAGAGTACCATATGTGTGACGAATACGAAATCCCGTTGAATTAAATGTAATCTTCAACTTATGTAATTATGTCGTCAATGTATACTAACATACATTGCGGTGTTTCAATTGAGATGGGCACCGCAGGGCTGAATTGTACTACTCATTTCTTTTATAAGTCAAAATAATGCCACCACTTAAGTTAATTAAAAAAACAATAAGTGAGGGGTAAAAAGTAGCTTGCGTTCAACTTAATCACTTGCACGCTGTATGCAATTGGTTTATTATTATTAATTTTTTTTTTTTTTACTTAACTCTCGGAAAAAATATTCCGAAAAATTATATAATGTTGCTATAACGTGCGAACAAAGGCAAATTAAAAAAAAAAAAAGTATATATTATGACATTATCAGTCAGCTGGAGTTGAAACACAAAATATATATATACATATATAATATATATAAACACAAATATTATGTCCATAGGTAAACTGTTAAAAAATAAATAAATAATATTTCGTTCGTTTTTGGGATTATACTTAATACATACGTCGATAAACGATTAGTATTCGACAATAGGTTTTGCAACTTAAACCATACCGCCTAAATATGAATCCAGAACCCCTAATGGTCGTTAGATTCTAACCGTGTACGTATAACGATTTGCGTTGTCTCGTCGTTTGTGTCGTGTTGGTGACCCGCGGTAACTGCCGGTTATAGGTCGTCTAAAATTGTAGCGCAGAGACGACCGTCATCCGAGCATTTGTTGCACTTGGACTGAATCTTTATCTCATACGTACTGCGCATTTGTTCAATTTTCCATACGCCCACGTATACCTTGCGCGAAACCCTGGAAAAGTTCACTAGAGCCGATACGAGTACGGTTACAGTGTGGCATGTAGATCGCCGAAAATCGGATTATAAGCAAACCACCAACGAACTGTAACGAATTAAAATGAAAACTGTTTAAACCGGGACCGGGCTACTAAAATTTTTCGTAAAAATATGCAGTCGGACCGAACCCATCCTTCACTAATTTTTTTACGACAAGACCGGACCATGCAAATCACTAACCGGTACAATGCTACCACCGCGAACGTAACGTGTTCACGATATCGCGTATTTTGTGTAGATTTTTTTTGCGTACTGGACGCTTACACTGTAGGGGTACGGGTACATTTTTTGGAGTAAATTTTACACCGGAACTTCAACCTAACTTTAAGGCGACTGATCAGAGGTTTGGTGAAATCAGTTTCGCGACGGCAAACGGAATTACATTGTTATTACACACGGCGCGATGCGAACCCGGTTGCAGTCCGCGTCTACTACGTCATTATCGTATTCGGGGTACAAGGTGGTGGGCGGAATATGGACCATGTCGGGCGCGTAGATGAACTTTTGCACTTTCCGTTGCCAACGTTTCCACATTATCCGAATCTTATGACGGAACGTCATGATTGAAAACGTTGCACGGTTATTCGGTTGGAAGGACTGCGCCGACGAACGAAAAAAACGATTGTGATTTTCGTTTTCCCGCAGTTTCGATCGGC